CGGGAGGGTCACAGAGAATATCCTCCCTTCCCGCTGGGCAGCATTCAGAAGAACTCTAGGTGCTCTACAGCACAGGGGAACGGTGGCGGAGCTCAGCGCCCCTTGGCACAATTCTGTGCAGAAAGTAAATATGTTTCCTCCCCCCCCCCTCGCCAATGTTTTTCTTGCTGGAAAAGAAGCAAGGCTTTAAAAGATGGGAGTTCTTTCTGTAAGACAAGAAGAACATACCAACACAGAACAAATTTAGAGTCCAGTGGCACTGGACTACACCACTTTGGCGTAGTGGTTAAGTGCGCAGACTCTAATCTGGGAGAACCGGGTTTGATTCCCCACTCCTCCACTTGCACCTGACTGGATGACCTTGGGCAAGCCATAGTTCTGGCACAACTGTTCTTGAAAAAAGAGCAGTTTCTGTCAGAGCTCTCTCGGCCCCTCCTACCTCACAGGGTGTCTGTTGTGGGGAGGGGAAGGGAAAGGAGTTTGTAAGCCCCTCTGAGACTCCTTTGGGTAGTGAAGGGCGGGGTATATATCCAGTCTCCTCCTCCTCTTCTTCTTCTAAATTTGTTCTACTGCTACTGGATGTAGCAACACAGAAATCAACATGTTTTGCACAGAAAGGAGGAGAACGTTTGAGGTTCTGGTGAAGCAGTATACATTTCTGAAGTAGAAAGGGGTTTTTTTCGCCCTCATTTTTGAAAGGACTCATTTAAACCTCTCTGTGCTCAGATAAGAGAATCTCTCTCTCTCTCTCTTTCTCTACTTCTCTGACCTACAGGTCTCAAGCAGTATCAATCAATCCCAACTAGGAATAAAGGGGAGGAAGGAAGAATTCAAGCCGGAGAGCACAGGCGTATACTACAGCAGAGAAGATGTCGGAGATAAGACAATGTAGTTTGAGTGCACTTTGGATCTTTTCTCCCACAAAAGGCATACATGAAAGTGACAGATGTTATCTGCAACGAGATACGTATTTATCAAACATGCACGGCGGCAAAGTTAGACAGCTGAATCTCAGAGTGATTTGAGAATGTTAATGTTCCTTAATGACTGTGCGCTTTCCCCCCCCCTTTCTGAACGGGGCAGTTTATCTGCAGGAGCTGAGGCCGTGTGTGAGAAATGGAAGGCTGCAGTCCGGATTCGACCTGACCTGGGTGGCCCAAGCTGACCTGACCCACATTAGACCTTGGAAGAGAAGCAGGGTCAGTCCTTGGATGAGAGGCCACCGAGGAGGGTCACAACACGGAGGGAGGCATTGGCCAACCACCTCTGCTTATCGCTGCATAGACCTGGATAGCCCAGGCTAGCCCAGGGGTCGTTTCGTAGAAAAAGAGCTAGGGGAACTCATTAGCATAACTCATTAGCATATGCCACACCCCCTGACATCACAGGAAGTGTGTCATGAGGCCACACCCACCACTCAGTTAGTCTTACTCTTAAAGGTTAGTCTTAAAGGTGCTATTTGTTAGTCTTAAAGGTGCTATTTGAACTCTTGGACTGTTTTGCAGCAACAGACTAACACAGCTACCTCGGGGAAGCTCCTGGATGGGGCTGGGAGTCCTTGCGGAGGCCACGTGGAGTGGCCTCGGCCAGGCAGAGGGGGAGAACGCCAACTTACCCTCCTGCTTCTTCCTCCTGCAACAGAATGAGGCTGGAAGAAGGGAGCGGCTGGAAGAAGGGGCGGGGCTTCGTCATGTGCCCCGCCCCCTGCACCTCACCCGGGGGAACTGCGATCCCCCGCGTTCCCCCCCTGAAATGACCTCTGGGCGAGCCCAATCTTCTCAGAGCTTGGAAGCTAAGCAGGGTCGGCCCCGGTGAGTATTTGGATGGGAGACCACTGAGGGAGTCCAGGGTCTCTATGCAGAGGCAGGCAATGGCAGACCACCTCTGTTCCTCTCTCGAACTGCCCTGGATGGTCCCAGGCTGGCCCAATCGCATCAGATCTCGGAAGCTCAGCAGGGTCAGCACCAGTGTTCCCTCTAAGCTGAGATAGTGTGAGCCAGCTCACAGTTCTTTAGCCTCCGGCTCAAAGATTTTTGTCTCCGCTCAGGAAGGATGACTCCAGAGCAAACTGATTTAGGCAGTAGCCAAATGGCTTTGCTCGCAACTTTAGTGCCAAGTGATTTAGGCAGTAGCCAAATGGCTTGCTCGCAACTTTAGTGCCAATGGCTCACAAAGTAGAATTTCTGCTCACAGGACTCCACAGGTTGGAGGGAACATTGGTCAGCACCAGATTGCATTTGGATAGGAGACCATCAAGGAAGTGCAGGGTGGCTATGCAGAGGCAGGCCATGGCGAACCACCTCTAAACACCGCTTGACTCGAAAGCCCTACAGGGGCCGCTGTTAAGTCGGCTGCGACTTGACAGGGAAAAGTAACGTTTCTGAACTTGAGAGATATAAGGGTTGGGCTGAAACATCCTTAAAGATGCAGTTGCTGGAACCTGATAAAGGGTTAGCAGCGGCATCATTTACTTACAGGAATACATCTCCCTCTGCTCTGCTAAAAAAAAAAGAATTGTAAGTAAAACGGGCCTTGCAAAAAGGCATCAGGAATGACCAGCGGCTCCTCTTAGACATGCAAACTAAACGTGTGACGCTGAATATCTGGGGCTTCGGTTTTAAGAGATGCTAACCCACCCCAGGAGTAAAGAAGAGCGAAGGATTTTGGATTTCGATTTCAACTGAATTTCAATTTCAGATCGCTTTTAAGGAAGAGCCACGGGTTTTCAAAGGGAACTTTAAGTGTATCTTGGTTAAAAGAAGAAGTAGAAGAAGAAGAAGAGATTGGATTTATACCCCACCCTTCACTTGGAGTCTCAGAGCGGCTTACAAACTCCTTTCCCCTTCCCCTCCCCACCACAGACACCCTGTGAGATGGGTGGGGCTGAAAGAACACTGACACAAACTGCTCTATGCAGAGGCAGGCCATGGCAAGCCCCCCTCTGAATCATAGAACTAGAGAGCTGGAAGGGGCCATACAGGCCATCTAGTCCAACCCCCCTGCCCAAGGCAGGGCCAGCCTGAAGCGGGGGTGCCGAACTCACTGGGAATGTGTTATTTAAAGTTTAAGAAATCTTTAATTGTGTTTGTCTGTGTCCTTTATACAAGTTTATATCCCCACTACCTGGCATTACCTTTGATGACGCACATGGCCCGGCCTGACAAGGTCTCATTTACGTCAGATCCGGCCCTCGTAACCAATGAAGAAGAAGAGAAGAGAAGAAGAGATTGGATTCATACCCCGCCCTGCACTTGGAGTCTCAGAGCGGCTTACAGACTCCTTTCCCTTCCCCTCCCCACAACAGACACCCTGTGAGGTGGGTGGGGCTGAGAGAGCTCTGGCAGAAACTGCTCTTTTTCAAGGACAGCTGTGCCAGAGCTTGTGACTGACCCAAGGTCACATCAGCAGCTGCGAGTGGAGGAGTGCGGAATCAAACCCGGTTCTCCCAGATTAGAGTCCGCGCACTTCACCACGACACCAAACTGGCTCTCCGGGTCCGTAATGCAAACGTAAACACTCCGGCGGTCAGAAGGTCCGTTCAACATGACACACGTTTCTTCTCTAATACGTACAACGTCCAGCTGTTCACGAACAACCAAGAGAGGCTCAAAGGATTTCAGCATATGAAATTGCTAACACCATCAAGGTCACGCATGGCATGCTGTGCTTGCCAACAGGAGGAATGTTGAGACCGTGGCCCTTTGTTTCATTCGCACCCCTAACACTGGGCTTTTCCGAATTCACATCTCCCTCACTTGAGTCTTCCTGCTTCGTTGGGGTCCCCCCCCCCGTTGCGCACCTGTTTTGCTCCCTCTAGTGGTCGATTCGATATTGCACGGTTTACGTCTGGCAATTCTCCCTGAAGATTTAAATGGGCGGAACAGGAAAAGAAAAACCCTGAAAACAACAGGAACACACCAGTCGGGAAAATAAGAGTGCAGAAAAACCCATTCTTTTAAAGTGCCCGATTTTCAATGCATACGGAGGTTTGGTAAGGCTCGGGGAGTGGCGGGGGGTGGGGGGGAGAAGAGAAACCGAAATATTCATTTTAGATAATTAGGACAGTTGCCTTGTCACCAACTTCTCTCAAATAGGCTAGTTCTGTTACGTTCTACATCTTCAAGAGCCCCATAGGCAGAACTACATTTAGTAATACAATATAGCCACTGATCTTGCAGTCTGATGTGCTGGTGGGCGGGGGAGAAAGGTACCTTCTTAACTCTTCTCCCTTACGCCCCCTCACTCCCCAGTTCTTTTAACCTTTACCGGAATAAGAGGCACAAAAGGATCTGTACTAATGCCGCCAGTGAAGAGACAGGAATGCTTTTTTTGGCAATACGTGGCAGATGAGGAAAGGATTTTAAAAGCACATTTTCCCCACCCTGATCTCCTCCTTCAGCACCGCAGCCTCGGAGACAGTGCTGTGTTAACAAAAAGAAATCCCTGTAGGAAATCACAGAGCTGCACGTAACATGCAGTTCTCTCCTAACCTTTTTATTCCTCCGTGCTGCGACTAGTACGAATAGCAATGGGGACCGAGAGGGGCGTCTCCCAATTTGCATTCTTAAAAAAAGATCAAGGTAACCCACAGAGAGGCCGTCCTTTCAAATACAGCGTTCTTGGGCTTGGTGCAATAATCGGGACTCGACTCCCGTTAGCCCGAGCTACGCCACAAGTTCGATAGGACAAGAGGGCCTCGATCGTTACTTTTTTAAAAAAACCACCTTGCAGAGGAGGCCTCCGATATTAATTTCAAACAAAAGGAAGCAGAACCACTTTGCTCGGAATCACTGTCGTCCGCGCGTGTTTCACACACGTGCATAAATACGAAGCCTCACCCGTTCGCCACATTTTTTAAAAAGCATCTGTTCTCAAATACACTCTCACACACGCGCGCGCACACTCGACAGTCCGTGGCTGACTACTGTTGTGTTTTGTACCACCGGAACGGAGAAGGAAAGCCATCCGCTGGACCCCCACGCAGCAGCACTGTCCGGTCAGAGTTGCCTCGAAAACGCAGTGTCCGAGAGGAGGGGCCGACTCCCCACAATCCTCCTTCTCCTTCAGAGGACTGACTCTTTCGATTCTATGTCTGTAGTGCCAGGCGGAGGGGTGGATGGGGCCTGGCCCTTGTGCATCACCAGAGGCGAGGTCTCGGCTTCGGCCTTGCAGTTTGGAACGGCTTCCACGTAGACCTCGCTGAGCTCCGGCTCTTTCTCCTTCATCTCTTTTTGATTCAGGTAGTGGAGGATGCCGGCTCCGAACGCGTCCCCCTCGACGTTCACCACCGTGGTCGTCCGGTCCCTGGGCAAATGTATCAGGAAAGTTTTGACTTGGGGCTTTTTTTGTTTTGTTTTTACACACAGAGAGAAGGTGACATCCCTGGTCTGAAACAAAGTGCACGAGAGCCAACTGCTCTGTCCGCCTTACAAAGGAGGACTCGGATATCCCTCTGCTCTGCCGGTCGCGGTCTGTTCTTGGACAGCATTCGCATGCCAGATGTGTTGGGCACAAACACCTTTCTTCTAATTTAAGTGGCTCCTGTTTTTGACCTGCACCGCTAGGAGGATAAATCTCAAAATGCTGCATCGCTTGGGGAAACAACAGTGCAATATTGGGTTTTGCTGTCTCTCCTGCCTTGTATATAAACAGCCCCTCCCTCGGGCATCTCCTGCAACAGGGTTCTGGTGGATATTTTCTATCATATTTTTGTCCTGCCCTTCCTCCAAAGAACTCAGGGATTCCCACATTTTGGAACATAAAACTAAAAGCTCCCCCCCCGAAGGTATTTCACAGGTATACCCAACCCAAACCCAGTTATTCTGACATGTGGGCACCCTTTGTATCATGTGCTACCATGTCCATTTCATGCCATCACGTGTTACCGTATCTGGATCATGCCACTGTAAACACATGAAGCTGCCCTGTACTGGATCAGGCCCTGGGCCCATCAAAATCAGTACTGTCTACTCAGAATGGCAGCTGCTCACCAGGATCTCAGGCAGAGGTCTTCCCCATCACCTACCACCTGGTCCTTTTAACTGGAGATTGCCAGGGATTGAACCTGGGACCCTCTGCACGCCAAGCAGATGCTCTGCCACCGAGCCACAGCTCTTCCCTCGATCAGAACCATCCATCCATCAAGGTCAGTATTGTCTACTCAGACTGGCAGAGGCTTCTGCGTGCCAAGCTGATGCTCTGCCACTGAGCCACAGCCCCAGTTCATGGCTCTCCAGGGTCTCAGGCGGAGGTCTTTCACATCACCTACGGACTGGTCCTTTAACTGGAGATGCTGGGGATTGAACCTGGGACCTTCTGCATGCCAAGCAGAAGCTCTGCCACTGAGCCACAGCCCCAGTTCATGGCTCTCCAGGGTCTCAGGGGAGGTCTTTCACATCACCTACAGCCTGGTCCTTTAACTGGAGATGCCGGGGATTGAACCTGGGACCTTCTGCATGCCAAGCAGAGGCTCTGCCACTGAGCCACAGCCCCTCCCCATGTTCTCACCTACATAAAAAGAGGGCAGGTATGCGGTACTTACACAATCCAGTCCACTGCCAAAATGAGGGAGATGTCATTGGTGGGAAGACCGATGGCCTCCAAGATAATAGCGATGGTTAGAACTCCTCCCGCTGGGATCCCAGCCGCTCCTACACTGGACGCGGTGGCGGTCACGCTGTCAACATGAGCGAATTACAGGTTACTGTCACACTCCATTTGCACACGTGCAGTAGAAAAAGATCTAAAGGCATGCAAACTCTTTCTTTCCATGGACGGTTCGGTCACCCACAACGGACAACTCAAGAAACCTATTTCTAACTAAATTTTATTAGCCTCTTTTCTTCCCAATGGAGCCTCACAGTGGCTCTTCCCACACAGATGGAATACTTAAAAGAAAATACATTAAGAACACAGAAAAGAGCAAGAGTCCGGTAGCACCTTAAAGATTAAGAAAATTTGTGTGGCAGGGTATGCGCTTTCGTGAGTCACTTTGCCCACGTCTTCAGACATCTGACTCACAAAAGCTCCTCCCCTGCCACAAGTTTTGTCAGTCTTTAAGGTGCGACGGGACTCTGGCTCTTTTCTACTGCGACGGACAGACCAAAACGGCGACCCACCCAGATTAAAAACATTGAAAAGGAAATTCAAAAATCACAAGTCGGGACTGTTGGTAGATTCAACCCAGTGCGATCGAAGACAATAACAAAATACAACCAACCCGTAAATTGGGGATGTTGCCTCCACCAGGTGAATCCGAGGTCAACCCTGTTTATCAAACCCTCATCCTTCAGTAGACTGAATAGCACTCCGTGCTCTCCACCCCAAAAAAGCAGAAACTGCCAAGGTGCACGCTTCAGCTCTGAAAGACTGCTGAGCATCTAATGCTTAATTAGCCTAATTACAAATCTTGGCACTGCTCTTTGGCAGTTCTGGGGATAATGGGCTGTATCATGCCACTCCACTCCGCTAACGGGAATGCCTTTCTCCAACACAAGAGGCATTCTGGGTTGCAGAGAAACCTCTTGCGCAGGAGGATTCTTTGTGCCACAGGAAGTAAACACTGTCGGGCGGGTGCGGCCTAGTGGTGAGAGCATCGGACCAGGGTCCGAATCCCTCACTCGATCACGGTGACCTTGGGCCCGTCACAATCACTCAGCCTAACCTATCCTCACAAAGTGATTGTGGTGAGATCAAATGGGGGGGGGGATGGGACTAGAGATGTACAATTTCAGGCAATTTTGAAGCTCGGGAAAACCCCCGTTTTTTTCCCAGTTTTTTCCGGAAAAAAACGGAAATTTTCGGAAAAATTGAAAAAAAAATGCTACATTAGGATTTCTTTTGTCTTTTCTAGATTGAAAGTCATTCTGTTACTTTAGGAACATAAAATATGACTATGGACATTTTTACTTGGCATGAAATTATCACAACTAGCATATTAAAAATATAGTGTATCCAAACAATTATTACAAACAGAATACCCACCCACATGCAAAAACAAAACTGAAACCTTTTTATTTTCTTCTGACAATAGCACCAGGCCTCCCCAGAGCCTGCAGGCCACACCACAATAGGCCCATGATCATGACAGGAACGCATCTCCCAAACCACCAAAATTTGGAGTTTCGTAGTGGGAGGGGGATGCTACAGATACTCTGAGGAAGATACGCTTTCTGAAACGGCACATCAACCAAAGTGCCACACATAAAGCTAGACTGCATCAGACCCTCAGTCCGTCCAGGTCAGTCTTGTCTACTCAAACTGGCAGCGGCTCTCCAGGGTCTCCGGCAGTGGGCTTTCTCTAACCCTAATAACTTACGGCTTTGGTCGCCCTGACTGACGATCTCGGGTCTTCACATCTCTAGATGGGACACAATGTGAAAAGTCACTTTGGGTCCCCAAAGAAGAGCAAGACATAAATTCTTAAAAAGCATTAACTGTTAGCCGAGAAACAGGCATAGCCTATGGCTCCCAAAGGGCTGCCCACTGGAACTGTCGCAGGCAGTGTCTAGAGGGGTTCACTAATGGCTGCCGCCGCTCAGGTATGGATCTCATCGGGTGGGTCCAGAGCACCCACCCGACCCCTTATTACAACAGGTTTCCCCTTGTACGTGACCAAAGGAGGCGTGAGGACCCAGGCAGAGTAACAATCTAGTTTTATTACAGAGATTGAATAATAACTTTAGATCAATAACAAGTAGGAAAAACTATCAAAGTAAAGGAGGCAACATTGGCGTCTCTTATGTTCTTATGACCACCAGTGTGGTGTAGTGGTTAAGAGTGTCGGACTAGTATCTGGGAGACCCAGGCTCGAATCCCCACTCTGCCATGGAAGCTCGCTGGGTGACCTTGGGCCAGTCACATGCTCTCAGCCTAACCTACCTCACAAGGCCGCTGTAAGGATAAAATGGAGAGGTGGACGGTGTAAGCCACTTTGAGTCCCTTACTGGGATAAAAGTGAGGTACAGGTGAAGTAAACAAATACATTTCACTGTCAGAGAAACGCAAGTTTGAATGACACATAAAACTTACAGAATGGTAAAAATCTGTCCGGCGTTGAGGTCGAAGTTGTTCAGCTGGGCAATGAATACGGTGGCCATACACTGGAAAATAGCAGCCCCGTCCATGTTCACGGTGGCCCCGATGGGCAGGATAAACCTGCTAATTCTCTTGTCGACACCGTTGTTTTCTTCAATGCACTTGATCATAGACGGAAGAGTGGCAGAGCTATATGCGGCCAAGGGCGGGAAAGGAAAAGACGTCTGGTGAGATATTCCGTCAAGTCACAGCTAACCTACGGCACGCCCACAGGACTTTCAAGGCAAGAAGACATTCAGAGGTGGTTTGCCATTGCCTGCCTCTCCGTCACGACCCTGGTATTCCTTGGAGGTCTCCCACCCAAATACTAGCCAGGGCCGACCCTGCTTCGTTTCTGAGATCGGAGACTGGGCTGCCCTGGGCTATCCGGGTCAGCGGTATGCAGAATCCTGGGTGCGTGCTATTCCAGGAAGTGAGCGTACTTCTACACGTCCAAAAGACACATTCCAAATTGTGTTTTTTTAAAAAACAAAGAGGCCTGGAATACATCTGAAACTATTGTTTTAGCTAAGAGTGAGTCAGTTTAAAACCTAGACTGTTTAGGCTGGACAGGATTTCGGTGTTTACACGGGTAGCCAAAACAGACGAGGCTTAAACGGACAGACACGTCTCTGCTGATCGAAACTGCATGTCTCCAGCCTAGCCTACGAAGGAGATCTTTATAGTCAGCCAGTTAAGTCCTGACATCTATATTACCAAAGCAGGGGTCCTCAGGCTCCCTCTAAGCGGTGGAGTCCTGTGAGCAAAAAATCTATCTTCTGAGCTACCAGCATTAAAGTTGTGAGCAGATGATTTGGCTGCTGCATAAATGAGTTTGCTCCGGAGCCAGTCCTTCCTGAGCGAAGACAAAAATGTGTGAGCCGGAGGCTAAAAAATCTGTGAGCTAGCTCACCCTAACTCAGCTTAGAGGGAACACCGGACTCCTCACCCTTTTCCAGAGATGGGACTCACTAAGCAAGGGTACCAGTGAGCTGCAAGCATGTGACAGGAAGTTAGGTGACATCAGAGTCTTCCGACAGGAAGTGGGGAAACCACGGTTAAGATCTCACTGGTGTCCAGGCCGGAGCCGTGAGCGGTAGACCGAAAGAGCTGCGGACAGGAAAGGCAAGCCAAGACCCAGGAGATGTGTTGTAGTAATGTGGTGTATTCAATGCAAGGCAAACTGTATGTGAATCACCCTATTGAAACACCATGTGAAGCTTCGTCCTCGGCTAGGATCCAAATCCCTCCAATCATATTGGTAGCCCAGGAAGAACCAGCCAATCAAGTACCAGCAAGCTCCCTGAGCAGGAACTAATGTGATTGGACCTTAACTCTACAACCTCATAATTTGATATTGTACAATAGGGCGTGGCTACATTAGCCGGGAGAGTTTAAAAGGGGAACAGCTTCAGTGCTAAAGCTGTTCTGGCTATCAGATGTTGATCCGTGTTGGAGTTGTGTTGGAGTTGCTGAATAAAGCTGATATTTTGCTGAATCACTCTCCGACTATTCTGTTGAGTGGGTGACTTAACAGGTAAGAACCGAGCTGAGAGTCAGAACCACAAAGGAATCTTCTTGCCCATTCAGTGATCACACCCGGGCTGTCGTACTGCCCTTAGTCTTTAAGGTGCTACTGGACTCTGGCTCTTTTCTGCTGCTAAAAGGTAAAGGTAACGGTTTCCCTTGCTCGAAAGCCAGTCGAGTCCGACTCTAGGGTTGCGGTGCTCATCTCCGTTTCAAAGCCAAAGAGCCAGCGCTGTCCGAAGACGTTTCCGTGGTCATGTCGCCGACATGACTAAACACTGAGGCGCACGGAACGCTGTCACCTTTCCACCGAAGTGGTACCTATTTATCTACTTCCAATTTCTTGCTTTCGAACTGCTAGGTTGGCAGGAGCTGGAACTAGAGACGGGAGTTCACTCCGTCATGCGGCACCCGGGTCTCGAACTGCTGAACTACTGACCTTCCATAGCCTGCAGTTCAGCGTCTTAACCACTTGAGCCACCTGTCTGCTGCTACAGACTGAAGACAGACTAACACGGCTACCCACGGAAGTAGGAACGAGCGAGAGTCCAGTCGTATCTGAAAGACTAACAAAATTGGTGGCAGGGTGCGAGCTTTTGTTAGTCCGTATCTGAAGAAGTGAGCGG